ACTCTGGAATCTTTGTCTAATGATGCAAAGACATCATTGCATTCTTTTATGTTGTATGTGTTTAACTCTGTGAAGCTGTGTTACTTTGCCTGCCTAAAACACCTGATTGGTCTAATAAAGAGCTGAACAGCCAATAGTGAGACAGGAAACAGAGCATAATTGGGGCTGCCAGGCCAAGAGAATAAATAGAAGAATGAGAAGAGGGAGGAGCGAAAAGAGGAGAAGGAGAGGAGGAAGTGAGGGGCCAGCTACCAAACAACACAGCCAGCCACAGAGCAAAGAAGGAAGGAAGGAAGGAAGGAAGGAAGGAAGGAAGGAAGGAAGGAAGGAAGGAAGGGAAAAGCCCAGAGGCAAAAGGTAGATAGGACAATTTTTAAAAAGCTGGCTAGAAATGAGCCAAGCTAAACTCAGGCATTCATAAGAATAAGTCTCTGAGTATTTATTTGGTGGACCCCTCAACGAGCAAAGAATACAAAATCGACTACACTCTTGAGGCCAGCACTTTAAGTATGCTGATAGGCACAAAGATAGCCATTTGTCCTGCGGGGTTTTTTTTATTATTATTATTAACTTTACCTCAAGCAGTTGCTAAGAACCACTGTGGCACACCAGCAGGTTTTAAATTAAACTTTTCTTGTTGCACACAGCTCATTTTCATTTTACTTTACAGGGGGGGGGGTTGAGGCAGGGTTTCTCTGTGTAGCCCTGGATGTCCTGGAATTCACTCTGTAGACCAGGCTGGCCTGGAAATTTCTCTGTAGACCAGGCTGGGTTATTAAGGAAAAACTGAGTACAGGACATGGGGACACTCCTTACAAGCTATCGGTCAGGGCGGCTTCAGAGGTCTCTGAAACAATGGCCATTGCCCTTGCTCCTGGTTACTCACCATATCACATTCTAAGCTCTTTTTTGTTGTTTTTGTTTTTGGAGACAGGTTTTCTCTGTGTAGCTTTGGAGCCTATCCTGGCACTCACTCTGGAGACCAGGCTGGCCTCAAACTCAGAGATCCGCCTGCTTCTGCCTCTCAAGTGCTGGGATTAAAGGTGTGCGACACCAATGCCCACCTGCTAAGGCCATCTTTATAACCGCTAACCTTCCCCACCTGCTAATGCTCAAGGAGCTCTGAGGAACAGGCAGTGGAAAGCCTGCAGAAGCTGGGGAATGGGAAGTAGTGGTGTGAAAAGCTCTCTTCTGGACGTGGCATGGTCATTGCTCTCACCCATGAACTCACAGCAGCTTATTTCCTGAATAAGACATAAACCCCACGTAGACAGGGTAGATGATCTCCAAGTCTTGTCTTCCAATGAGGAGCTTTTGGTAGTTGGTAGCTGCTGGGGAAGAGAGAACCGTTCTTTGAGGGTGAGGGTTCCACGCTCCAGTGGAAGCCCCTGGCCTGCAAGCACATGTGAGCAGTACTGATTGGATTTAGTGAGTTGTTAGGTTAAATATATGAGGAAGAGTAAGTAAAAAAGGGAAAGAGGTCATGAAGTTAGGAGGGGTAAGTGTTTGGGGTTACACAGAGGAGCTGGATGAGGGAAGTGAGGATATATATGATCATATTTCATTATATGCATGCATGAAATTTTCAAAGAATTAAAAACAAGACAATAGAGAAAAATAGATGTTTTTTAAATGGGGGCATTTCTTTTTGGTTTTGTCTTTCAAGGCAGGGTTTCTTTGTGTAGCCCTGGCTGTCCTGGAATTTGCTCTATAGACTGGGTTGGCTTGAACTCACAGAGATCACCTGTCTCTGCCTCCTAAATGCTGGATTAAAGGTGTGTGCCACCATGCCATATCTTACCCTGGAATATTAAAAGATCAAATGATCTTTCTAGAATGCCAATCAAAATCTGCCCAGATTCTGTGTGAAATCTGTGCACCCCTAGAATTAAAACAAAAACCAAGCAGGGCGGTGGTGGCACATGTCTTTAATCCCAGCACTTTGGAGGCAGAGGCAGGTGGATCTCTGTGAGTTTGAGGCCAACTTGGTCTACATTGTGTCAGAACAACTTCCAAAGCTACACAGAGAAACACTGTCTTGAAAACAAATGGCATTTCCAGACAGTGACCCATTCTAACCTTCCCTCTGCGCATCCCCATGACACTGGGCACTGGGCACTGGGCACTGGGCACTGGGGGGGGGAGAACCTCCCCCGGCTCCTGACTTTGTGCAAGTAGACTCCTCTGGAAGCTTTCCTCATTCCGACAAACTGCATCTCCACCAGCAAGCCTTCCCCAGGTTTGTATGATCTGTCACTGTGCAATGCTCTGAGGCAAACTGATGTCCCTTCAGGGTTCCTCAGTTCAAGAGACCTCCTGGCAGTCAAACTAATCATCTTCTTTGAGGCAGAAGAGCCAGGGGGCCAATACTTTGCCTCTTCTGTGGCCAGCTTTCTTCTCAGAGACCAGGCAGTAACTCACTGTGGCAGCCCTTCCTGTGGACCCTCTCCCATTGAAAAGGCAGGAAGTCCTCAAGGAAGGAGGCTGGGGTACCTGTCATGTATGCTCTGGAGGTGGCCCATTCCCTAGCCCCAGCACTTGTCATCTCTGAATCAGGTAAGCTCCTTGCTTCTGTATGTCCTTGCTTTGTCGTCTATACAGAAATAACACCTAGCTCTCAGGTGGTATGATGGCTATCCTTGGTTGCCAGCTTTACATCTGGAATTAACCAAATCCAAGCAACTGGGCACTCCTCTGAGGGTTTTGTTTTGTTTTGTTTTGTTTTGAAATCAGATTACTTGAAGCAGGAAGGCACATCCTAAATCTTGGCCACACCTTCTGGTAGCAGCCTACATAAAAGGACATGGAAGAAGGATGCTGTGCTTTTTGCCTGCTTGCCCTCACTCTAGCTGGCAAGTTCATCTGCCCTGCTGCAGAGGCATTCCTTCACTGACATTGGAACCTACTTCTTTGGAATTCCAACATTGACTGAAGGCCAGCTGAGATATCCAGCCTCATGTATTGAACAACTATTAGATTCTTAGGAGACAGCCATTTTTACTAGCTGGACCACAGCCTGTAAGCCACTCTAGTAAATCCTCGTTTAATAGCTATAGATTCACTATCAGTTCTGTTCCTCTAGAGAACCCTAGGACAGGTGGAGAAGTGGTGATTGCCCTCCAAATGATGGTCATTACTCCACACCCACACTGGCCAGGAGTGCTTATGTCCTGGCATATTTTATCCACACCCCCAGCAGCAATGCAGGAATGTTCACTGGACCCAGTGCACAAAGTGGGCCAAGCAAACGCCAAGGCAGACTGTCATCTGCTTCACCCCTGGCCCACCAGGGTTCAGTATTGTTCATTCTGCAGGAATGGGAAAGAATCAGGAGCAAAGGAGGCTACAGATGTGGGGTGCACCAGCTCCTGCCAGCATGATGGCAATGATGACATCACACAATGGTGATGACAGCAGCCACCAGGGTATGGAGGAGAGAGCATCATCTTGGCCTTTCTTCTGCCGGTTCATAACCCCAGCACAGGTAGACAGGATCCTCGCTGCTTCAGTTTCCAGCACAGGTAGACAGGACCCCCACCATCACAGTTTCAGTTTTTTCTACATGCCAGGTAAAAGAACTGGGGGCTTTGCTGTCAAAACCCTGGGGGGCATGAGTTACTGCCCTGGTTACATGTAAACCCAAGAGGAAAAGAGTAGAGCTCACAGGGAGCGCCTCCCCTCTACCTCCACAGCCCTGTACCCTAAGCCAGACAGGCTTGTCTCTCACTGCTGTGGGTGAGGCTCAGTTCCTGGGCAGCCTCAATGTAGAGTCATAGTGACCCCAATTACACTCTGGTGCCTGAAACTTCACCTCATCAGCCTATGTCTCTCAACTTGTACTCTGGTTTCACAGTACACAATCCTCCCAATGGCCTGCAGTGGGCCTGCAATCACCCTGAGTATTGAACCAAAGCTGTGGGTCCTACCCTCTCAACTCTGGAATACAGCCCCTCCCCTCCACAGCACTTTGGGTGTCCCAGTGTTAAACCAACCACCTTAACTGAACCAAATGCCCCCCTGGCTCCTGCTCCAGTGTGAGGCCAACCTCGCTAGTGGACTGCATCCGTGGAACCACTCATTTCCTGCTCTTGTTGGCGCTAGGTGTGAGGCTAACATTATGTTTTAAGTCTAAATTACTGTGCTCAACAGATCTATAAAACAGAAATGCCTCTAACCTGTAAGCCCCACTTGCCTAGGGACAGGTAACTTCCTGGAATGTTGTCATGTGAGATAACAAGCCACATGTTGTCACTTCAGTAAAAAAGCTTGGTTGCCCCAACTGCACAGGATGGGCTTGATCACACCTAGGCAGGAGTACATCGGGATGTATGCTTGCTCGTGACTGGACAAAGGTGGGAGTGCACAGCCTTGTAGGCTTTGTCTTTAGAAACAAAAAATGTCACTCTGTGATATACCCTACGGATCCTGGGTATAGAGCCTCAAATTTGGCTCAAAAAAATTGTAGTGGTGACCGCATTCTCTCCCTATGGGGTTACCTCTAGGCTTCCTCCCAGATGTCTTCCCTCGATCCCTCTCAGCACACACCCTGCATTCCAGCTGGAAATCTCCCCTTGAGCCAGGGGAATACTCCAGGGATTCTGCAATTTCTCCTCGGTTTCTCCCATCTCAGGAACACGGCTCCCTCAGAGCTGTCCTGTCCACACCAGTCAGGGCCTGTGCTTGGCTTCTTCAGTTTCCTTACTTCCCAGGAAGGCAGAAGGAAGCAGCGCCAGAGACAGAGTCCAACCAGACAAAGCCAGAAGTGACTAAGAGATCCCACCGTTCCAAGGGAGCTCATGAGCCGGGAGGTCAGAAGTTTAGGGACCCGTGCCTTTGGCTTTTCTGCCCACCTACACCTGCCATGGGCACATCTGCCCCAATCCAGTGCCTTGTCAGTATTATAACCCAGAGGCACTGCCTTTTGCAACCCCCTCCCCCCAGCAGCCAACCAAAGGTGACAAACCAATGGTTTACAAAACATTTTGTTTAGACTGCCATAGTTTTTTTTTTTTTTTTTTTTTTAATTTTAGTTAGCTGCTACCATTTAAAAATCAGAAAATTCTGCATAAGAATCCAGCATTCTAGTTTTTTGAAAAGTGAGATCTGGTGACAGAAGCTCTCCACCCCACCCAGGGGTGCTCCTTTGCCCGGGGCTCATGTTCTGCCTTCTGAAGTTCTAAGCCTCCTAATAGCAACTGCCATACACACGAGCCACTGGCTTATGACTACATCTTTGCATGAGGCTGTTCTTCCAAAGGAGCGGAAGGCTGTCCTAGCCCATCTTTCCTTTGCCCTGGGCCTAGCGGGCAGGAAGAGCAGGGAGAGCAGGAAGGCAGGGCAGGGTGGAGAATCCCAGGCAAGAGCTACACCTCCAGCCTCTCTCTGACAATTTTCCAGCAGTATCCCAGGAACTCGCTGTGTCCTTGTCCTGAGCCTGGCCCAGGTTGCTGCGGACACGGAGCTGGCCCAGGTTGCTGCAGCTGGCTCAGGTTGCTGCGGATACGGAGCCGGCTGTCTATTCTTTCTGGCCACTCTGCATCCTCTTGAGCTGGGCCTAAGGCCTGAGGTTTCCTGAGCGTGAGCAGCATCGAGGTCTCGAGCACAGGCTTCCTGACTGTTTAGCCAACTCAGCCAAATACACACCACGGGGTGGCTGCCTTGTCACAGTCCAACATGATATTGAGGACAGTGCAGGGGGCCCCTCCTACAGACAGCGCTGTGCGGGAATCCACCCGGTACTTCACAGTGTTCAGGCCTCCCTCCCGGTCCACCTTGAATTGTTCCTGGGAAGAAGAGATGGAAAGAACATGAACTCACACTTCATGGGCCAGCTGTCCACCCATCTCCATTAAGGGAGAAGAGCCCAAAGCTGCCATCTTTCCCACACCTGCGCCCCATCAGTAAGGAAAACTCTGACTTTTCTGTGGGACAAATACACCTCCAAGAAAGGGATTGTGGCTCCCCACCCTGCCTACATGGATCAGGTCTGGGCTGATCCACAGGGCTCAGATGCACACAGCAGTCACCAAGCAGGGCAAGGTGCCCAGGGAGAATGTCCATCAACTGACCTGGCCCAACAATGGGAGGTTGGCACCATTTGGGCTAAAGGGGAACTTGGTGAAATGATGAAACCTATTGGTTCCTACCTATTCCTCACCACTGAGGAAACTAGCCAGTACCTGTTTTTGAGCTGCGATACGTTTCTGGTCCCTCTTCCGCCAGGCTGGGTCATGCAAGTGGCGAAATGTCTGGTACCCAGTTGTGATTCCTGAGGGGCGGAAAAGCTAAGGAAAACAAAGAAAGTGGGGGTCAGACTGCCTCTCTTGTCATCTTGGCCCTTACCACTGACTCTCTGGGATCCTACTGGCTGCCATTGGCAGGGGCTCTTACTGCCATCCCGAAAAACAGGAGACTCTAGCAGAGAGCCCAGGAGTGGTTAGAGGAGCCCTGTAAGTCAGGGTGAAAGCAGGGCTCAGAACCAGGGAGACCAATGGCAAACTCCAGGATACAGCAAGTAAAGGTGCACTCAGGACAGACCCTCAGGACAGCCCTGTGGCCCAGGGCAGGAGGAGCCGTGGGAGGAGTCTTACCTGGAGGCCAGCTCCCTTGATGCGTCGGTAGAATTCATCATCCTCTCGGCCCCAGCCCCAGAAGCGGTTGGACATCCCGTTGCACTGACACAAAGACAGGCAGTGTCTGTCACGCGCCCCTCCTCCCAGGGGCGCACTTTTAGTCTCTTACTGCTCAGGAGAACCAAGCCTGAGCCCAGCCAGCCAGGCTCCCCTTTCTTCTGCCTGCCCTGACTGTTCTGAGTGACACAGGGTGCTGGCAGGTCCCTTCACTCTGCAATGGGGGTGTGGGGGAGGGGAGGGGCAGAAGGAAAGGATCAGCACACCTTAGGCCCCTCCCACTTCTAACAGGGCCTTGAACTTGAACGTGATAAAAGTCTCCAGTGTCAGCTCCCTTCAGGGGGCAAAAATGCCAAGTGCTACTGCTTCTTGTCTTCCCACCCATTCTCCTGAGGTGGCTCTGGCCAGGTCTTTTCCTGGATGTTTGAGGGACAACCATGATTAGCATCTGCTCAGGGCTGCAGCCACGGAGGACAGAGAACAGCCACTCTGATTTCCTCACCCCTCTGTGCCTCTCTCTGGGTCCCATCAAGAACCAGTATGCTTTATTTTGGGACTTCTATCTAGATGTCTGGGGAGGGAGGGGCTCCATCTCCCACCAGCCAGGCCATGTTTTACAGGCTGTAGCTCACATGAGAGAAATGTGAAGAGAGCAGTGCTGAGACATGGGAAGAGCAAGGAGGGCAGGTGACAGGAGACTCTGCAGGCGTCACGTCTGCAGCTCTCTGTGCAGCAGGCACGAGGGCTTCTGGGGTCACAGCACAGCCCTTCTCAGCTAATGTGCTCACTCCTGGTCCTCTCTCGTGTCTCTGGCTGCTGCTGAGTCCCTGTCAGGCTCAAACAAGACTCCATCTGCTGGGCCCAGGAAGGCCCGCTCTACCCCCACAACTGCCAGACCCCTGGTGGTTAAGATCCCCAGCAAATGAGTAGAGCAGGTAGGGCTGGACCTCACCAGCTGGTAGTGCTGCCTGGAGAGCAGCAGGATGCCGCCCACATAGGTCTTGTAGTGGTAGAGGGGGTGGAGCTCTGGGGAGGCCACATGGAAGGGCCCAGCCTCTGGGAAGCCATAGTCCAGCTCCTCATTGAGAGGGAGCAGATCCACGTCGTGCATGGCAATGTAGTCTGTGCTGTTGCTGCTCTCCAGGAAGCCCACATTGATGAGCGCTGCCCGATTGAACCTACGAAAGACAGATCAGTGATGCCAGGTAGAGGAAGCAAGCTTGTCATCAATCTAGCTCTAGCCCTAGCTGTGCATGAGAGCTTCTTCTCCGTCACCACCCAACACTGATGTCACTATAGGGGCACTGTCCCCTCTGCTTGCTGCACAAGTGTTCACGGAGCACCAGAAAATTCAAAACCACACTGGAAGAGAGAGCACTGTTCTCAAGGAGCTTCCAACAGGAAGAAGCAAGCCAAACAGGGTGGAAGGAAACTGGAGGGGAGGTGGCAGCTAGTCCACACAGGGCTGTCAGGACAGTCAGGGTGGCAGGGCCATATGTAAGTTGGAAGCTGAAAGCCTGAGGAATGATTATATGGAGGCTGGGGACAGGGCTCCACACAGGGGGGAGTAACTGCCAAGGCTACCAATAGCAGACACTAGGAGGCTCTAGTCAGCACACTGAGAAGAGACTAGGGGGTGGGGTAGACACTGAGAGGCAAGAGGTGATGGTGGCCTGGCTCAGGCCGGTAGCAGAGGGAATGGTGAGAAGTGGACAGGCTCTAGATGCGATTTGATGACGGGCTGGATGCTGTGACAGACAAAGAAGCCCTTTTGGCTTGCATAACTAGAAGTATGTAGCGTCACTTCCTGAAATGGGGAAAGAAAGGTCTGAGGAAGTAGCAATCAGGAATTCAGCTATGGACCCATTAGGCTCGGTGATTTAATACCAGGAGATGAAATGGGATGGGATTCTCCAGGAGGAGACTGCACTGAGGAGAGGGAACAATGAGAGATCAGAGAGACAAGGAGAAGGAGAAATGAAATAAGCAGGTTTGGCCATTGAAATGGAGAAAGCAGGAAGTCAGGCAGAGGCATTAGAAAGACAAGATGAGGACCCGGGATTATGGGAGTCGCCTGTGACCTCAGGGAGGGCTGTTGCAGATCATAAAAGGTGTTTGTTAAAAGGGCTGGAGAGATGGCTCAGCGGTTAAGAGCACTGCCTGCTCTTCCAAAGGTCCTGAGTTCAATTCCCAGCAACCACATGGTGGCTCACAACCATCTGTAATGAGATTTGGTGCCGAACACTGTACACATAATAAATAAATCTTTTAAAAAAAAAAAAAGGTGTTTGTTAAAATAGTCTCAAAGACAATCCCAGCACTCAGGAGGCAGAGGCAGGTGGATCTATTAAGTTCTCAGTCAGCCTGGACTACAGAGCGAGGTTTCCAGGACAGCCAGAGCTACAGAGAAACCCTGTCTTGAGAGAGAGAAAGAGAGGGAGGGAGTGCCCTAAAGAAAGGAAAAGAAAAAAAAAAAAGGAAAAGGAAAGAATAAGGAAGTTTTTCTTCTCTCCCTCTCTCTCCTCTCTTAAGACAGGGTCTAACCATGCAGCCCTGGCTGTCCTGGAACTCGATACGTAGCTGGCTTTAAACTCCCAGAGACCCACCAGCCTCTGACTCCCCAGTGCCGGGATTAAAGACGTGGACCACTATTCCTGGCCCCTCCTTTTAAAACATTAATTGTCTATGTATTTGAGTCGCACAGCGGGAGGTCAAGGGCAGCTTATGAGACCCCACCTCTCCTTCCAGCATGTGGGTGTCAGGCTCGGTGGCAAGCTCCTTGCCACCCCGCTCCTTTCTCTTTGGGGAGCGCTATGTGTGCACGATATGAATCAATGAGAGGAGGAGCAGACCATGCAGAGGAGGCCCCATGGCTCCAGCACTGACCTTGAGTGGCAGAGAGAGAGAGGCACAGTGGGAGAGACAGTCCCAGAGGACGGAACAGTCCTTGCTGGGAGGCGTGGGCAGACGTCAGGGGCTGAGGAAAGCGCTCCTCCAGTGACTCTGCACCACTGCTTCTCCTCCTGTCCTCATACAACTTATTCTAGAGAAGACGTTAGATCGGGGCCCACCCCAAAGAATCCCACTATACCCAGGGAGGGGTGCCTATCTCCTCCCAGTAGCCCCTGGCAGGCCCCGGCGCTAAAGGCCACGGGCAAGGAGAGGCCATGGGAGCAGAGGTGCGGGCTCGGGCTGGTCCTTACCTGAAATGATCCACCTGGTTGAGCACGTAGATGTGGTGCGGGATCTTCTTCCTGCTCAGGAAGCGGTGCATGTGGGGCACAAAGACCAGGAGCTCCTCAAAGCGCTCCCGGAAGGGCACCAGCACTGCCAGGCGGTGCGGCCCCCAGGAAGCATCCTCTTCCCAGTGCTCAGGGGGCGGCTCTGGAGGGCAAGCCCGAGGTGGGCCCCAGGTCTCCTGCCCTTGTCCCCTGGTCACCTGGGCCATATCTCCAGAGCAGCTGAGCTGCAGCCAGAGCAGGGAGAAGAAGACCAACAGGAGGAAGGCAATGAAGAGGTGGAAGATGGAGCATTTCCGGCGGAGGCCTCCAGGAAGCAACCTGGCCCTGGGATAAGAGCAGCGGGGAGGTCAGGAGGGCAGGCCAGCCGAGACCCTTTCAAGACCATTTCTCTGGCCTCCTCTGGCCCAAATCCTGGCCTTCCCTAAATACCTGGGAATTAGTGCAGAAGCAATGTTTAATGGTTTTGCTCACACCACCACCATAAACAATCAGCCCACTCACCTCTGGAGGTCCAGCCTGTGCTCCCCCCGGGACACTCTCAGCCCACTTACAGCTGGCAGGGCTGGCCCAGTTCCTCAGTGATTTTTCATATTCTGAGGAGATCCTGATGAGAGTGCTCGGGGGAAAGACAGGCTATTGTGTCATATTCCTTTCCCCCAGGACAGTGTCTTGAGGTCCTTAGTCAATGGCAGGGGTTCCAGTTTGGAAAGACACAACCCACTGATTTCCAAACTCACTCTCCAGAAAATTCACCCCAGCAGAAATGTAATTTTTGTAGTGCCGCAAGGGTGCCCAGAAAGCTACCCAAGGGGTGTGTGCTAACATAAGCCCCAGGCAAAATGGCCAATATTTAGTCTAGGAAGCTTAAAACTGCCCAGCACAAAAATAAATAAATAAATAAATAAATAACTGCCCAGTGTAAGGTTCAAAGGGATGGTGTCAGATCATGGGGTAGCCCATAGGACAAGGGATAAAGGAAGGCGGAAAGCACAGGGCTGGGTTCAGCACTATATCCTACATGTAAGAAACTGGACAACAGCTGAATACCCCAGATCCTGGGTGACGCTGAGAAGCTGCCCTTTGGTTTAACAGTTACAACACAACAGGGGAAACCCTTGTGAGGTGGCCATGGTGAATTTCCAGGTCAAGGCCAAGCTGCGTTCCATAGTGACACTGTCTCAAAAACAGGCAAAACAAAGAAGCAAAAAAGAACCGGTGGGATTCTATGCCCTCCAGTGAAAGTTCCTGAGGGTACCAGGAAAGGATCTGAGGAATCAAAGGAGGAAGCTTCCTGTATGGTTGCTCCTGCTTCCCTGCCCAAGCACACAGTAGAGAAATCTGCTTTATAACCTCGAAGAGTCAGGAACTGGTCATCAGGTCTTTTTTTGGAGGGGAGTTGGTTTGAGACAAGGTTTCTGTGTAGTCCTAGCTGTCCTAGAACTCACTCTGTAGGTCAGGCTGGCTTCAAACTCACAGACATCCGCCTGCCTCTGCCTCCTGAGTGCTGGGATTAAAGGTGTGCGCCACCACTGCCTGGCTGGTTATCTGGTCTTGTAGACTCTCCCTCCTAAATTCTCCTGCAATCGTCGTCTTGACTACTGGTCCTTGCCCTGCTATCCACTTTCAATCTCATGGCCACTCTGCCTCTGCTTACAAGATAAAAGCTGGAGTCTTTGGTCTGGCAATCAGACTCTGCTGACAAGGTCCTCTGTGATTTTGTCAAATCTCCAGTTTCTCATAACCCTTCACTCTCATCCCGAGGAACACGAGGACTTTCCACTGGCCACATTCCTTCCTGCTCCAGCCCTCTCTCACCCCACCTGTTTCTCCCACTTGACACTCCGTCATTTTAACTGCTTAGCAATTTTCGACCAGCCTTTCTAGGCCAAGGATGCATGTCATGGCCATCACTACCCCTCCTAAGTTCCCAAGGTCCCAGGGTACCTGGCACTTCCCTCTTTACATCACTTATGTGTGATGAGCTGTATGATCCTACTTTCAGAACATGTGGTATTCTCCTCAATGGCCTCAGGCCCAGTCAGACAGCAAAGAGTTTGTCAAGTGAGTTAAGGGAAGGACTGAAGCAGTCCAAGCATGCATTAAGTCCACTGGAGCCACATCCAAGCCTGTCTTTCTCTCTAAAGACACAGCTGCAAATTGGGAAGCCAGCAGCGCTGAAGCCAGGCCCAGGTCTCACATGCATCAACTTCGGGGTTGCCCAGTGGCTTTCTGACTTACCCCCCATCATCTTGTGGTGATGGTTTCCACTGTGGAGCAGTAGAGCTCAGACCTGCAAGTGGCCTGACAAGCCTGGAACCTTTACAGATTCTTTCTTGCACTCTGGGCTCTTTCTGGGAGCGGGGTTGAGACTTAGACGATGAACAATGTGCAATAGACCTCCTTTGGGGGATAAGCAGCGACCATTACCCATGGATTCCACAGCCCACCCACTCCCTCCTGATGTTTCTTTAACTTTCCCTTTCTGCAAGGATCGCAGTGCCCAAAGGCACTCTCAATCTTTGCTCTAAAGGCCACAACCACTGACGGTCCCAATTCTATCAATAAAGTGGATGATAGTGGACACTGAGCACTGGTATTGCTGATGCCACCTGGTGACAGTCCCCAGAACTGCAGTCCTGGATGCTTCCACACCCAGGTTCTGAGGGGCACGTTAAAAAAGGGGTTGGTCTCCTTTATCAATCAAAGCCTAGGGCTAATTAGACGTGCTTCAAAACCAAGCAGGCTTGTTCTATAGCCATTACCCAATTACTACAGTACTTGGTATTTGTTGCATGGATCTTTGCCACTATGTCAAAAGCACAGAATGGACATCAATTTTTCTTCGAACACAGTAAAAGGATCAGAAGATCGAAATTCCCTATTCCCTCCGTATATGATCTTCATTAATCTTCAAGGAGCCCTTCCAAGTAGATAATATGAATCCTCATTTCAGAGATGGAAAACTGAGGTCAGAAAAATTAAGTGGTAGCTGGGCGGTGGTGGCACACACCTTTAACCCCAGCACTTGGGAGGCAGAGGCAGGAGGATCTCTGAGTTTGACGCCAGCCTGGTCTACAGAGAGTTCTAGGATAGGCTCCAAAGCCACAGAGAAACCCTGTCTGGAAAAATCAAAAAGAAAAAAAAAAAATTAAGCAGTCTGTTTCTGGCCATCATGTTTTTTTTATATTCTGTCACATTTTAACACCAAATATGAAAAAAAAAAACACCAAAATTGTGCCTACTAAGCTCGAGTCTTATGACACCTACTAAACATGTCACTCATTAAGTGAACATCCACTAAGGTGTGTTTTGGGGAAGAGGGATGGGGGAGGGGAGCATATGTCAAGCCTGAAGTATAATGTCGCCATAAATCGAGGCAGGGAAATCACCTCCCTCACTCTGCTTCAGAGAGAAATATCTTAAAACTCAGATCGGGCCAGACTCACAGCTAACATTTGAGGCTGGACCCACGCAAGTATAACAGCACAGGAAATGAACTAATGGGTGTGTCTAGTATAAGCCAGGCAACGGCTAACCATCAAGGCAGAGAACATAGGAAGCTTCTTTCTGTCCGGTGTGATCTTCCGGGCCAACCGCAAAGCCTGAGGAAGCATGACGGAAGAGGGTAGGATCTGAAGTCACGTGGATGGGATGGTGCAGACGGAAAAGAAATAAAGACCCTGAGTGCCACAGCACAGAGAGATCCCCTGTAAGAAGTGAACGGAATCAGCGTCCCGCAGGGAAACAGGCGAACCAGTGAGGGCGAAGGACACACGGAGAAAAAGGGACTTAGATGAGGAACACACACAAAGAGCGACCAATGCGGAGAGGGTGACACGGGGCCCGAGAGACGCGTGGGGAGTGGAAGCTGGCAGTAAGAGCGCCACGCGGCCAGTGCCCGTGACCCCTCCCGAGAACCACAGACCGCAGGTGACCCCAGAAACGCAGCCGCGGCGGCGCCAGGCTCCTGGATCCTGCCGGCGTTGGGGAAAAGCACGGCACGAAAGAGGACGCGGCCCCGGCTGGTCGCCGCCGCTCACCTGCCGTCCTCCCAGGGCAGCTGCGCCGCTTTCCTCCGGGAGGGCAACATCGCGGGGAGACGCGGCTGGACATGGAGCTCCAGCTCCCGGCCCGGCGCCCGCCTGCCCGGCCTACGCGGCGTCTCCGCCTCCGCCTCCGCCCCGCCCCCAGGTCCGTCGCGTCCGCTCCTCCCGCCGGGCCGGCAGCACCCCAGCGCCGCTGCCTGGAAGGTTCCGCCGCCCAGAGAAATGCCTGCGGGGGCGGCCCCAGTTTCATAGTGTCTGCGGGGACCCCCGGGATGTCACAAAAGAGGCAGCTCCCTCCCTTCACCCAGGCCCGAGGCCCCCAGACCAGCTGAGCACTGCTGGAACTACACGTGCACTCCAGAACAGCACTTCTGGAATTAGGTGCATCTTCCTCCTTTTCCCCAGCGCAGGCGGGCAGCATCGCAGCATTCCTGTCAGCCCAGCAGATTAAGCACGTAAACTGGCAGGAGAGCCAGTTCAGGATGCAGGGCTGGGTTCCGTAGACTCACCAAACAGTAGTTAGGAGCTGAGCTCTAAAGACTGACTGACTGCGACTCAAACCCTGCTCGACAATTCAACTATATTCTGAGGAGAGTCCTATTTCTGTGACTGTTTCACCACTTGGGTATACAAGTTGTTCTCATTCTGTATGGTCATCGTGGAAAATGTAAACCGATTTGCTGCAGCGCTTGGCACAGTCACCACTGTATAAATGCTGTCGTCTAGTATTTAAAGAGAACCGAAACAATGAAAAGGAGACCAACCTATCTGCCCAGTCTGTGTGAATTTATTCACTTCCTTACCCTCACGCATTGCCTGCTTCCCCACAGGAAAGGAGAGGCAGTTACTGAACTTGAACTCTGCTCTTCTTTCAGGCAAAATTTAATATTCTAATAAATACCTAACATCTATTCAGTCCTACTTTGTGAAATTCATTATTCTAAATCCTTTACTACTGCACTCTTTTACTCAGTCCACATGAACAGGGATTATTTCCATTGTTGTGAAGATGAGGCGACTGTGGCACAGGCAAACCAGGTTTGTGTGAATAATCTTTTCTCACCCACAATCTACAGTCTCAAGCACACTGTTTCAAGACACATCTCCACTACAGGTGATAAGTTATTGTCTAACTCTTACTTTCCCCTCTTAAACTCTGGCACATACAACACAACCCTTTCCCACCCTGTGGCTTTCTTGGATCTCTGCATCCTACACCAGAAACTTAGCAAGTCAGTTCTAGATGTGGTAGATCAAAGGCAGGACTGACTTCCTCAGACCAGTTAGGTAGGGCCAATGATGAGACAGTGATGTGGGGCCATGTGACCTGCCCCTCTAGTCATAGGATTCAATCTCAAGACACTAAACTTTTCATAAAAACCCAAATTAATTTTTCAAACATTTTATTTATTATGTATACAGTCTTCGGCCTGCGCAGAGGGCACCAGATCTCACTCAAGGTGGTTGTAAGCCACCATGTGGTTGCTGGGAATTGAACTCAGGACCTCTGGAAGAACAGTCAGTGCTCTTAACCACTGAGCCATCTCTCTGGCCCCCCAAATTAATTTTTTTCCTTAAGTTTTTCGAGACAGGGTTTCTCTGTATAGCCTTAGTTGTCCTGGAACTCACTCTGTAGACCAGGATGGGCTCGAACTCAGAGATCCACCTGCTTCTGCCTCCCTAGTGCTAAGATCAAAGGCATACACCACCAAAACCTGGCTCTCTTATTTTTAATTTTTGGTTTTTCAGGACAGAGTTTCTATGTAGCCCTGGATGTCTTGGAACTCACTCTGTAGATGAGACTGGCCTTAAATTCAAAGGGCATGTGCCACCACCACCCCATAAGTTCATGTATTTTCATACCCGCCAAGAGTTAACTATACACAGGACAAGTTTTTTTTTTTTTTTTTTTTTTTTTTTAATTGGGAAACCAATGTAACAAACCCAAACTCACTGAAAATAAACTCAGTAACTAAGACTGCTGGCTTTGTCTCCAACCAGCACCGAAGTCTCTGCTTGGCCTGTTACCAGCTGCTCAAGTCCCAGAAAGAACAAGAAACCCAACCTCTGGGATCCTTTCTTGCACGGCAACCCCTCCACCCACCCTTAAGTCGACACACATACACCTCAGATCAGCAGGCTGGTTCTAAGCCAAAGGCAAGAAAAGCAAGGTTCTTGGAATAGCAAGGAGTCACTGATATACCCTGACCTGCTCAAAATCCCATGTTAACAAAGGAAGACAGAAGGAAAATCAGCTTGCTGGCCCACCCACTTCCCTCCCAAAACCTACCCAGACAGCAGCCCCACATCCCTGATCAGTAACACTGAGAATCCAAGACACCAAGGGTGTCACCAGGTCCCAGAGTGATTACTGCAAAAGGTCCAGAGGTGGGGGTGGGGAGGGCCTGTCCCACCACCCGCTCAGCATTAGCCAGCCAAGTTGTTGTTCGAAGGTTGAGCCTGAGGAACGGGGGCATGCTTGCAGTCCCTCTCCCTCCAGAACATCTATGGCTGAAAACCAATCCTTCTCCCAGAGAGGAACCAGTGTCAGGAGGTCCTTTCCCCACAGCCTGGAAGAAAGATTGCCTGTGAGGCTTGGCACGGCTACACCAACTTCTTGGCTTCAAAGAAACTCTTGAGGTGCCTCATCTGCCAGACACCAATGGCCACGAGGATGAGTGTTTGCAGGATGGACCACCACAACACTCGCTGGTTGGTGCTCTCACTGGTTTGCCGGAAGCGCTCCTCCCGCCACTGTGGGGGAGATGAATGGCAAGTCTTTAGTACAGGGCTGCTAGAACACATGGGTTCCCAGCTTGCAAGGATGTCCCAGGGCCACCCACTCTGCCCACCTTCCAGCCAAAGGCCTATGGGGACTACCTTCATCATCGACAGTCAGCTGACTGCCAGCAGACTAAGCATTTCTCCTAAGTCTGTCTGTTGTCTGTCAGGTACAGTCCTCACTTGACCCTTCCTGACACCTGGAGAAGAAGTAAGGTGGTGGTGACAACCCCAAAGGACAGAGGTGTCCTCAAGTGCTTAGTATGGACTTCCATCCAGGTCTCTGAATCTGCTCCTTCAACATCTATGTGTCATATATTCAGACTGCAAAGTCGTGGGCCGTGAATACATTTTTGTTTGACTCACACAGTAGTTTTTTTTTTTTTTTTGGGGGGGGGGCTTGTATTATGTTTTCCTTCAAGATGTGGTCTCACTGTGTATCAGACTGGTCTGGAACTTGCTATATAGACCAGGCTGGCCTCAAACTGCCACTGATCCACCAGCCTCTGTCTCTAGAACACTCAGATTAAAGGCATGTGTCACCTTGCCTGTCAGCATCTAAAAACTAGGGAAATGTCACACAAAAACCTGGATCTTCGCCTTTAATCCCAGTACTTGGGAGGCAGAGGCAGGTGGGTCTCTGTGTGTTTGAGGCCAGCCTGGTCTACAGAGCATGTTCCAGGACAGCCAGGGTTACACAGAGAATCCCTGTCTAGAAAAAACAAAACAAACACAACCCCTGGACCTTTATCTCCTATTGGGGGAGGGTACTGCTAAAAACTCAGGTTTGCATTTTTGCAAGGAGGCCCTGGCAGACACTGTACAATTTCCCTATTTAGACAGGTAACTGCCTCACAACTCCTTAAGGTAACAGATTCATTCATGGTGCCGTTCTGGTTCCTAGTCACAAATAACTTAAGAGGCTCTTGGTTCTGGCAGCAACTTTGGTGCTGGTGTAAATCACCACGCTGCTCTTCTGCATGTGACCGTGAGGCTCCATTACGAGATGGACCCTGTAATACCCACTCACCTTTTAGAATTGCACTCTGGCATAACTAAGCCCCCTGGGGTTCCATAATGAATCTTTGCTGAAACTCCTGGCTGAGGCAGTGGCAGCATCTGAGGAACTTGCCACGCCCTGCCCGGCCCGGCCTGGCCCTGGCCATGCCCTGCCCGGCACCCACCCGCTGGTAGTTCTGCTCTTTCTGGATCTGCTCCACTTGCTCCACTAGCTGTCGCACTCTTAGCTGCAGCTCACTCAGCTTGTCTTTGGCAGCGATTTCTGCGTAGTCGTTCGCATGCTCTCCTACTTGGATGTCAAGGTGAACTCTCTGGAGAAGAAAAAGTGAGGTGAGAGAGTCAGGCAGTCCTGCTGCCTTTGAATGCCAGACTGGCAGCTGATTCTTCTACTTTCCTTCATTTTTTTATTCAGCTAACATGCTGAGACCCCACTCAGAGCTCCGGGCACACAAGCAAAATTGTTCTGACTAATGCTTACACGGTTTGTTCTCTGTTTAACTGTGGCTTCTGCAGATCAGAAATGCTTCAAAAAGCAAGAACAAGATTTTAAAAATACATATATTTAAAAAGTCAACTATGGTGACTTTTCTGATCATTCTCTAAATCAACTCAGTGATTTGATATACACACATACATCAGTAACATTGCATTAGGAATTATAAGTAACCTAGAGATGATAAAGTATATGGCAGGATATGTATGCATTGTATTAAAATACACTATTAGGGTCCTAAAAATGGCTATGCAAACTGTTCAGCTACTATGTCCTGTTATGTCCACAGGAAATCCAAAGGCTTTAAAAAGGCACAAAACCCAATATCTGTCCACCACCCCCACTCACAGTACCAACACCCCCCCACACCCCCCACTCCCGCCAACATAACTGACTGAAAGCCGTTAGTCCCACATGGATGGACCCACTTACCAGCATGCCTCCAGCAAAGAGGGAGAACTTGGTGGAATTGGAGTGAAGGCAGATCTGGTGTTCACCAGGGGTATGGGAGGTGAATGTGAACCTGCCCTCAGAGCCATACTGCCGGGCCAGGATGACCTGGAGACAAGGAGGAGTTTCAGTCAATGATGCTTAGGAAGGCTGGAAAAGAACGGTGATAAAGGCTCCAAGTACCACCAGAGATGGGAAGGAGAGCCTCAGACAGGTCCGTCGCAACACTAAAAGATTCAAAGTTACTCAGCCACAGTTACCAGCAGGCCTGAAGGGCCTGGCATCAGGCTAGCAAGAGACTGCACCCAGGAAGGACTTCACTCATTTTTAGCTCTTTCCATGTCGTTTTGTTGTTCTTGTTGTTTTGGAGACAGAATCTTATTATGCATCTCTGGCT